AAATGTTTGCCAGACTAGAGCTGTAATGGACTGGAACCTGAAAACTATTAACAACTGCAGTATTTCTCTAATTCGATGGTACAGTCAGACCCTCCCTCCCTCCTTTGTAATCGAACACCCCACAGTGTCTGAAATGGGTTGCCAGCCTCACTTTCTACAGTCAACAATAGGTGCTGGCATTTTTAAACTGACCTTTAATTCTTCTGAACCAGCACATTATTTTTAGCTTGTTTGTTGTAGAAAGAAAATGAAAAAGGAAAGCAGTCTTAACCATTTTCACATCTCCCATTGAAAGCAGCACACGGAAAAAAGTTTTTGAAACGATCACCCATGTATAAGCTGATTCCACAAGGGTTCCTTTTTTTTTCTTTCCTTTACTAATTTTTTTAGAGAGAGAGGAATGGGGGGGGAGAGAGAGAGAGAGAGAGAACATCCACTGGCCACCTCCTGCACGCCCCCCACTGGGGATCTGGCCCACAATCTGGGTGTGTGTCCTGACTGGGAACCGAACCAGTGACCGCTTGGTGCATGGGTTGACCCTCAAACACTGAGCCACACTGGCTGGTCCCACAAGGGTTCCTTCTAAGACAGACAGCCAATTATGAGGTTCAGATGCATTGCAGAGCTCCCAAAAGGAATAAAAAGCACCTGTGCACTTTAAACTTAAATGAGGCAAGTGAAATGTATCTACATTCTTATGCACATCTTACTTACCACTACAATAAATACTGAGTCAAAAAATTATTTTTAATTTATTTCAGGGGCAAACATATTTAATGATGATGTCTTTTCCTACATAATATAGGTATATACTCATTTTATTCAGGATTAGTCAACATATTTGGAACTGCAATGCTATATAAAATAAGGATTCAAATTAAGGTTTGAATATTTTGACAAATGAAACCAATTGTAGGAAGTTAATATTTTATAATCAGCCAAAATTCTTAATAAGAAACCATAACCATTTTTCTCAACATACCACTGACTCAGAGCATATCCTTTGAATTTTATATGCATGGGGATGATTTTTTTTCTGTGCCAATCACTCTCTGCACCAAATCCTGAAGACAAAGATAACTGGACAAGATCAGGGTCACTGTTTGTGGCAGGAAGATCTCTGGGTACAGTACTGGTCTTCATGTGCATGAAGCCTGTGACTTTGGCCCCATTAGCATTATGACCCAATCAAGTGAACTAACTGGCCTGTCCAAGTGTGTGAATATAAACCACATCTCATTTTGCCTTGATTATAATCTGACTAGGTAACCTCGGGACACAGAATTACATGGCACTGACATTCAAATACAGTTGTTATTTACATGAAAATAGAAGCCAAGCTAATTTTTCATATTTATTAAATAATTCTTAAAAAACACAAATGGGTACTATCTACCCTAATTTGTAACACAGTCTTCACAGAGTTCTTAAAAACTAGAGGAAATTCTAGTTTTCTTTCTTGATATTTTGTTCAGATAGAGTGGGAGGGAGGGAGAGAGAGAGAAACATCGATGTGAAAGGGACACATTGGGTGGTCACTACCCACATGAGCCAACCAGGGCCGGGGACAAACTGCAACCAAGGTACATGCCCTTAGCGGGAACCGAACCTGGGTCTCTCTGGACCGCAGGCCAATGCTCTAACCACTGAGGCAAACGGGCCAGGGCTAGAGGAAATTCTGAAGGCTCTTTGGCAGCTCCTAGTTTTGAGAGGTCTCAGAAATCAGACCCCACACAGAATGCTGACTGACCACTGGAACACGACCTGCTCTAAAAGCTTGCTACGTTCCTGTCCATCAACCTAGCACACAGCTGCCCTTCTCAGCTTCGGTTTCCTTGTGTGTGAAATGGGGATAATGTCTACCTCACTGGATTGCGAGAGTCATTGATACAATAAAAGCCTCTCAGATAGTGCTGAGCACATAATAAATGTTCTTTCTTATTAAACTTGCAGGTCAATTTAAGGTTGTGTAAACATTAATACTGCAACTTCTTCCACTTTCCATATATAAATTAAGGGGCTGCCATATCAGTACACAGCCAGTACTTGGAAAGGTGTGTACAGGATTTCATAAGTGTTTTACAGGGCCTCATAACAATGACATTTATGTGCCTTTTGCAGTCTCGGTTAAAAATTAAAACCATCTCCATTTAAACAATTTCTAAACTCAGGTAATTTGTTTAATACCACACCATCTCTGTAGCAGCCCTGGAAACTCTTCAGTAGCTCTCAAAATTGGTGTGATCAGATTAACACGTAGGCAAAGTACCTGCAGAACCACGGCAGAGATTACTTCGGGCTGGCAGTACATTTTAGGGGAAGTTTCTCTGTAAAAGCTCCTCCTTGTGGATTAGCAGTGTCAGCTGCAGTTCTGCAGGGGTAGGAATCTGTTGTACGAGGTGGGGTAAGAGGGTTCTAGTGAAAAGCATTTTACTGCTCTCAAAAACTCTACTCACTGAGCATGCCCAATGGCCATGACGAAGAAGCAGTGAAGATAAAAGGTAGAGAGCAAAGTTAAAACAAAACAAAAAACAACAGCTGAATATAAAAGGAGTCATTAGCAGTTGCTCTAACCTTAAACAGCCTTGGTTGTATTCAAGTGAAGTAAATTACACACACAGAAAAGCTCTTTGATATTAGGAGAGAGCAACTCAAAATTTAAAAATCTGTGTCAATGGTAAAAACAGGCTATTAAAATAAGGTCTTCATGGACCCACCATCTTCTGCAGCCCCCCAATCCACCTGAGGGGAGAAGCTCCTTCCTCTGGAACAATCTGTAGGCCCAAGCACTCCACCCCCACCCCCACCCATTCCGTTTGGCTTCAGCCAGAACCACTCACCTTGGTAACGCATTTCCTTACACATCTTATGAAAGATTTCCTTTGAACAGGTGCTAGAGTGGAAATCACTGTGATGTTATCCCCAAGGACAGAATAGAAGGTGTATGTTAACGGTATCTAGTTCAGACCAATCCTTCAGTAAATACATCATTATTGACAAAATGTAGGCCTTTTGTAACATTGGTGTTGGTTAGATTTATGTTATAGTAGTAGCTTGTAGAGTGGTGTTTGGAAGCTCCATCCAGATGCCAGTTTCCATAGTTATCACCTTCCCAACCACCAATCTCCATCCAGAAAGTCACTGCCCTGGCTAGAGGTAAGTGTATGTCAAAACTGTGGAATTCAGATGCTGAATCTTAACTGTCAGTTCTAAAACGTCCACTCAATTAAATATGTTACTAAAAAAGAGCCAAGAGTCAACTAGAGGATAGCCTTAGCTAAAGCTTAATAAAATAGCTGGAAACCATGAATGTATACATAAAAAACAAAAATAACTTTCACATCTTTGATTACTTGTTATCTCAGTACATGGAATGCACAACTCAGACAACGGGTAGCACTTCCCTTATCCTAGCTATGTCTGTTCGTATTCCTTTTTTACTTCTACTAAGCTTCTAAAACTGATAATTCGTTATGAAAATTAACAAAAACAAATCATAAATTTAGAAGCTAAAAAGCCAGTTTGCTACTGTGAAATGTTTATACATTGTATTTAGATCCATGACTTCTTCTGGGACAATATACTCAGTTTAACACAGGAATTTAGTTTACATAGCAACAGAGGTGAAAAATGTTTCCAGAACTGTTCTTTCCATGAGAAAAATCTTTCTTCCTAATTAATCAGACAAACTACAATTTCTAAACAGTCTTCATTTCTAAATAAACAAAAACCCAAATCTCACACACATGAAAATCATGACTAAAGCAGACTTCACTTGTCCGGTATTAGGGAAAAGCAGAAAAATTTATTGTACTAATGGGGAGGTATATCCTTTATGAACCCCAAATTTAGAAAATCATGTAGCATTCCCATAACTAAAAATAAATAAATATAAATGAGGGAAGAGAATGTACATTTATAAATTATTAAAATTTGGAGCCTAATTCTGTTTAATGGGAGTGTATTGGCAAAAACTCTCCAATAAACGTACCTAAAAATGTGGTTTGGATTATGAAAAGCAGCTTTTAACCAAAGTTAAATTTCAAGTGAGTCCACGATCACATTTACACTGAAAGATTAGTCTAAGGGTTTAGGGAGCTCTCATCACATAGTTTGTCATTTTATTATGAAATATCACTTTAATGCAAATGTATTAGCAACATTTGGCCCATAGAGTATCTATGACATTTTAAAAACACACAAAATGTTAATTTTGGGCAATAACTTTTAAGAAAATAAAAACATTTAAAAATTCTAAAAGCCTTAGAAAATCAGACTGGATGTGTTTTAATTGTGGAGAAAATATTTAAGGGATTTTAAACTATTAAACTTACATTTTTCCCTCTGAACACAGTATGTTTCTTATTTCCTTAAAACTATTTTGGAGCTACTCAACACCGAAAAATAAAATCATTGTTATTCCTATCTTGGTTTATAATTTAATAAATTAATAACATCTTAGCCAACAATACCAGTAACCTGCATTATGTCAAATATATAAAACTGATAACAGAAATCATTTAAAAGCCCAGAAATATTAGAACTGAAAGCTTTCTGCGTTTGTAAATTAATGGCTTTTGGGGAGGAGAAACTAAGGTATTTAAAGAGACAATAGTATCTTAAAATCTGTAACAAAAGGGAAAAACTACTGATACTAGTTTTTAAAACTCATTACTTATAATAATGTAAAACAAATTTGCCATTTTATCTGATTTTCAATATGCTTATACATGCAATATAAATTATATTTATAACATTACACCATCTAAAAGAAAACAATGATGTATAAAATCTTTATGATAAATTAAATTATTGCATTTAATGTCATTTTCTTGAAAACAAAAATAATGGACTTCCTCAATGTTGCATCGCATATGAACAATACCAGTTCACCTCATGGGCAATGTATGCCAACACCAACTCCTGACAACAAAAATAGAAGTTAAAGCCCTGAAAGTTCATCTGATTTAGGTCAGGTAATCATGGAAACAAACACATATTTAAAATTATTTATTGTATCATTATGCACATTGAAGGGGAGCATTATAGACAGCAGAGCTCTGTTCCACCATAAAATTATTTACAACCATTGATTCAGCTAGAAACACTAGCTTGAAGAGGTACTGGTATATTCCGTTTGTAATAATTTCTCTACAGCAAACAGTTGTCTTGTAATGGAGCATGTTGAAGAAAATATTGTCTCATAAGTCTTTTTTGTTCTTTTGAGTCTCAATCGTTAAAAGTTCAAGGTTCTTTGACAGAATCCTGGTGTCTGAATGGCCTGATGAATGCATTAAAATCAAGCAGTGTGTTTATATTCTGAAAATACTCTCAGATCCAGACAAATGTTGCTTGGGTTGTGAATCTCCTATCTTTCCTACTGGCACTATGACATTTGAAGAACATTTGTTATGAAAGCTTCACACCAATTTTGTTTTGCTCCTTCTTCATTAGCCGCTGTGCTTCCTTTTCCATTTTCTTTCTCTGTTGTTCTGCTGCTCTCTTTTCTCTGTCTGCTATCTTCTGCTGCCTGAAAAGAAATGTATTCCTATTTTACTTTTAGAAAATACCACAAGTAAGCCCTGGCTGGTTTAGCTCAGTGGTTGGAGTGTCGGCCTGCAGACCAAGGAGTCGTGGGTTCGATTCTGGTCAAGGGCACGTGCCTCGCTCGGTTGTGGTTGAGTCCCCAGTCCTGGTCAGGGTAGTGAGAGAGGCAACAGGTCGATGTGTCTCTCTCACATCAATGTCTCATTCTCTCTCTACCTCCCTCCCACTCTGACTGAAGATACATGGAAAAATATCCTCAGGCGAGAATTTAAAAGAAAAGAAAATAACACAGGTAAAATAGCAAATACATTCCAGAAAGAAATAGCATTGCCTTTTTACCGGCATCAAATGTAAATAAAAAGTCTTCATTCTTTCACTGCTTTGAAAACTTCAAAGATTTTCAAAAATAGTATTTCTTTTAATCCTCAGAACGACTTACAAATTAAAAGAGGTATTATCTACATTTTACAAACAAACAAAAATGAGGCCCAAAGGCTAACTGACTTGACCAAAGTCCTAAGATTAAGTACAAGGATAAGAAGTCACATGTCCTGACCCTTCTTCTTCAGATTATTTCCACTAAAACACTACTTCCATTGGACTACGTCTTTTTTTTTTTTTTTGACACCACTCAGAAAAGCCTGATATTGAGGATTCAATCTTCTATTATATAATTAAAAAACAGTCAGCGAAGGATGTCAAGAACACAAACATGCCTTCCAACTAGAAGCTGGATTTCTACTTAAGGATTAACATTTGACCAGCCCTACTAATAAGGGTAGAATGGATGCTATATACTTATTACACATCATAAGAGTAGCAGTGGCTGATGCAATAGGCCAAAGGAGAGGAACAAAAGCTGGTCCTAGATCTGAAGGTTTAGGGTATGAGAAAATAAACATGCAAGGTTGAGGAAGGAAGTCGCATGTCACAGTTAGGCATGGCATAGGCCACACTAGGTTATATACAAAAAAATCCAGTGTGGATTACTTATGTATGGGACAGCAAGAGACTACAGTGACTGAAGTGTATATACAAATCTCAATCATACTTACAACTGGGTGTAAGCAGAGTTATAAATGACCAAAATTCAAGAAAGTAGTGAACCTGTTTTTGATCATCACCATCAATTAACTAACTACAGTTTCAAAAGAATCGTTTTTAAAAATCTAGTTTTCACTAGCTCTTCCCATTTTCAAGCAAAGCTGATAATATGCACCAAAAAAGTCAAAACGCCCGTGGTAAGAGAGATAGAAAAAGAATTATAAAAGGCTGGCTAGGTAAGATAACCAAGCTTTGACCTGGTCAGCTGCTGAAATTTAAACATCAATAATTAATGTTTCTGGCACAGGAGGAAACTTAGAGATTTCTGTGGACAAAATATATTTTCCCTGTCCAGATACAGGTCTGGAATTACTGAAGTACCAAAGTCCTCTTCCTTAATGACACTGATCACAGTGGTGGTAGGAGTTTAAAGTGGCCATGGGAAACAGGCTGAGGTAGAGGATATGGAGTATGGACACACTTTAAAATTCTCAATGTCCTTCGGAGGCAGTAACAACAGATGGAAACTCTCTGTCTCTGTGGTTCTACTTATGCAACCTTGCAGCATGAAACATGCCTATTACTGACTAACAGGCTCCCTCTCCCAAGTTGTCGCATCACGTAAAACACTAAGTTTGAGTTTTGGGGTCTTATTTCATTCAGGGTACAAGAAGACAGGGTGGCAAACAGAAGGTTTTGTACAGTAAATGTTCAGATACTTGTGAACTCACATACTCTACAGTGCAGTGAATAAGATTGCTGGGCTCTAAATGAACAGCCCTTTTCTTTATCCTTGTGGTTAATGACATACATCATTACTAGAATCCCCAATATGTTCTAAAATACTCTGACTTCAATATCTATGATTTATCCAAAAAACAGAGTAAAAAATATAGATGGTTTATCTTCTTTGATGATCCATAAGTATAAATACTGCCATTTAGAATTTTAAAATATTTCCTTAATACTGAATAATGATCAAATAGGAACTAAATATTTAAAATTCTCATAACTTCACTGAGTTTTAAAATGGACCCCTTGCCCTGGCCAGTTTGGCTCAGCGGTTAGAGCGTAGGCCCACAGACCAGAGAGTCCTGGGTTTGGTTCCTGCTAAGGGCTCATACTTAGGTTGCGGCTCATCCCTGGCCCTCATTGGGGTCATGTGGGTGGCAACCATTCAATGTGTCTCTCTCTCTCTTCCTCCCTCCTTCCCTCCCGCTCTATCTGAAGAGAAATGCAAAAAGGTCCTCGAGTGAGGATAAAAATAATAATAATAATAAAATGGACCCCTTGCTGTGGAAAAAAGATGGTGAAAATGGACAAGACCAAAAGAGAAAGTCAGCCATGACCCCCAGTGAATTAACTGCACCCTCTGCTGGTTGTTCAAGGTAATAGTAATTTATTGATAAAGAGGAAAGGAAAATACAAAAATGAAATCAGTTGTTTTGTTAAAATAGTCAGATAAAGGGTAATTCATTTTATATCCCTATTATAAAAACAATCTTTTAAAATAAAAACTTATATAGCTGTATTGTACTATATCATCTTTCAAAATGCCAAAGTAATTTAGACACATTTTAAATATTGGAGTTTTCATCAGTGATGCTAGTCACAAACTCTAAAGTAAATTTATTTATTTATTTATTTATTTATTTATTTATTTATTTATTTATTTAATTTTTATCCTCACCCGAGGACATTTTTCCATTTTTTGTTCAGATAGAGTGGGAGGGAGAGAGAGGAAGAGAGTGATGTGAAAGGGATACATCAAGTGGCTGCCACCCACACAACCCATCCAGGGGACAAACTGCAACCGAGGTATGTGCCCCTAGCGGGAACCGAACCCAGGTCTCTCTGGACCGCAGGCTGATGCTCTAATCACTGAACAAACCGGCCAGGCCAATTTTCTTTTTACTCTTTGACCTAGTCCAGCAGTAGCAAGAATTAAGTTTATTGTTCACAAAAACAAGAAATAAGAACGTAACAACTAATGAAAATAAACTTAAAAACCTCCAGTATATTTTCTTTTCTGTAGAATCGGCTGTACCTGACTTGTTATATACCTCATAGGGCTTTTGAGTGCATCCATTAAGATACACATACAAATATAGAAGGCTATATAAGGTATTTTCATTGAAATTTAAGGGGCTAGGCACTATGCAAGAACAAAAATAAAAGTGTAATTTCTGCCCGGCCGGTATGGCTCAGTGGACTGAGCATCCTCCCATAGACTGAGAGGTCCCGGTTTGATTCCCAGACAGGGACATGCCCGGGTTGAGGGATTGATCCCCAGTAGAGAGCATGCAGGAGGCAGCCAATCGATGTTTCTCTCTCACATCCATGTTTCTCTCTCTGTCTCCTCTTCTCTCTCTCTAAAAAAATCAATAAAAACATTAAAAAAATAAAAGTGTTATTTTTGATCTGGAGAAATATACAGTGGTGACTCACATTTCATAGGGCATTTCAAGAGATAAGTATATTTTACAGGGAATGAAATATAAAAGTATATGGAGCAATATGGTGTATATCTGTAAAAGATCTTGTCATTAAAAATTATTTTGCTTCTATAATGCTTTCAATTCTGAGGTTTTAATCATATAAAATAGCATATGTGGTCTGAAATACAAAAAAAGTATCCCATATTATCTAAGGTTCAAATGAGAATGAAGAAAAATGTAGTCTTTGGCAGAGTAAGCTTTCTTGACCTTAGGTGTAACATGAACAAATCTAGTCCTATTCAGGTTGCAATGTAAACATTACTCAAATACCTCAGAACTTCTTCTGCTTGCCAGGACGCATCTTCTTCTTCTTCCCATGCATTGGTATTTTCCTGCCAGGTATCCAAGTCACCTAATTCAGGCTACAGTAAAAAAGGCAAAAAACAAAATTACAATAGTAAAGAGCCATTCTTTTTCCCCTCAGTGGTCCAGCAGAGCATCTTTTAAAACATAACCCAGTTGGATCTCCGGTCAGGGCGCATACAAGAATCAATCAATGAATGCATAAATAAGTAGAACAACAAATCTATATTTCTCTCTCTCCCCCTTCCTCTAAAATCAAATAAAAAATAAAATAAAAAAGTAAAATACAACCACCATAACCCAGACCTTGGCATTGCCCTGCGCTTGCTCCAGGTCCATACCACGTCACCATGTCCTGCACAAGGCTGTTTCCCTGCCCACTCTAAAAGTTGACTTTTTTCCCCACAGACCAGTGAAAATGCTCATTCTAGAATGTTTAGTTAGGTGTGGAAGAGAGTATGTGCATAAAAGAACTAGAACCAATCTGTGAATAAATGTATTATGTTCTCTCCTAAAAACGAAATAAAATGTGTTGCATTTTCTCCTCCTACCCATAACTGTAATATCCTGTTAAAATTTTTTCAGTACTTCTAATTATCCCTGTAATATAAATTTCTAAAAAGTAGAATTGCTAAATCAAGAAAAAGATTTTTAAAGTCACTGAAACAATATACAAATGACTCTCTTAAAAAGCTCTACCAACTTATCCCCCCGACAGCAGTAGGTAGAAGCTTGTTTCCTTGTACCTGTCAATAGGTACCTTTGTAATAATCTTCTTTTCTATCTTTGCAAATTTGTTAAGACCTAAAAATGTCTTATTACTCTGAATTTGTTTGAGAACCAGTAAGATCAAACTTTTCTTCATGTTATCATGTTATATCTATTTTATTTGTAAATTTATCCATTTTTCCAGAGAGATTTTTTTACTTTTAGTGTATATAACATTTAGATATTTAAAAAGTGAAACAACTAAGACCATAAAAAGGAGTGATATCTGATCCTTTGGTAGACATGGCCTTCTAAATAAAAAGAAAAAAGTTGTAAAAGAGAAGATTGATAGATTTGCTACACAAAATCTAAATACACTAAAAACATCTAAACTAAATTATAAAGCTGAAATATCGTAAAACATGACAGAAAAAATTAATATCCTTAGTATAAAAAGAGCTATCACAATACAAATAATTAGTTCAAAAAAAAGGAATGTGCAATTTAAAAGAAGAGCCTTATTTGGGGAATGGGTGGTAAAATATTTTTGGTGCAGCCAAGTGCAGGAGGTTACCATTCTCTCCTAGGCAATGCCCTTTCTTTTGTCTGCTTAGAAGGAAAATATGTGGAAAAGGCATTAGAGACATTCCCTGTCTCCCCTTTTTACCCCTTCCCAACCCTGTAAGCAGTTATGTATTTACAACTTTATAATGAACTACATTAATGTTGTAATATCTCACAATTACTGTTAGGTGGCATACGTGTACTAATGCACTGGGGAAGTCTGAACAATTTTACCAATATGGAGCCCACATATGTGAATAATGTTTACAATTCAGAAATGCAAAATAAAAAATTATACATTCCAGTGCTATGCTCTTTTAGAGAAATATCTGAGTGCTATTGTGCCATCATACATGTACCTGTGTAGAAGTTATCAAAATCTGTAATGTTTATTATGTGTATGATTATTTGTTTAATATTGTGCCTTCTCCTTGTACCTTTGAATGCATTCTACTGAGGCAAGGATCCTACCAGTTTTGCTTACTTTCCACTAAATTATTAGCATCTAGCATAGCATCTGGCATTAGTAAAAAGTTTTTGATCAATGAATAAAAAATATATGTATACATGGGACCCCAGGAGAGAGGGACCTCAGAAGCATCTATGCAGTTTAAACAAATATACTAGACAGATGGACACACAGTTGGGGTGGTTTAAAACTACCTGCAAATTCTTTGATCCTTCTTTCAAGAGGTAAAGCTTAATTCTTCTCCCCATCCATGTGGGCTAAATTAGTGACTAGCTTCCAATGAATAAATAATATAGAGGTGACAGTGTGTCACATATACAGTTGTCATAAGCAGGCATGGTGGCTTCACCCCTGCATGTTCTCTCTCTATTTCTCCGGGATCACTTGTTCTGCGAAAGTCAGCAGTTATGTTATAAGGTCCATTGGAGGAACTGAGGCTTTGTGCTACCAACCAGCATTAATTTTCAAGGCACTTAAGTGAACCACTTTTGAAATGAATCCTCCAATCCCAGAAGAGCCTTCAGATGACTACAGCCCCAGCTAATGTCTTGTCTGTAACTCATTAGAAACCCTGAGCCAGAACCACCCAGTTTAGTCTCCCCTGGATTCCTGACCCACATAAACTATATGAGAAGAAAAATGTTTACTATTGTTTTTAAGCCTCTACATGTTGGGTTGTTATACAACAATAGATGACATATATGATCAATTAATAATAACTAATCAATAATCATGTTTAAGGTTAGGTCTAGACCTTGGTGTTTTTAAAAAATTCAAAGGTGATTCTGATACGTTTCCAAGGTTGACAACCACAGTTATATACTCTCCTCACTACTTTTATTCTCACACTTTACATGTAAATAAAATTTACTAGAAAAACAATTCACAACTCACTTAAAAATAACTTGCTATTATGGTTAAATTTTAGTGGTAATCTGTTTAAAGGTCATATTATTAAATAACATTTTCGTCTCTCTCCTTCATGTGTACAATGGGACTGTGATGTGATTTACCACAAAGGATAGGAACAGTACAACTCCACAACAGCCTCTCTCAACCTGCTAGACCTATTTCAAATAGAAATACAAATACTATGTTCAATTCATTTTTATTTTTTCCTCTTCTTTAAAGAAAAAAGAATAAAAACAACCCTTGCTTAGATACCATTAACATACTTACTGATTGGTGAATAAAAGGCATATCTTGTGTAGCTGCTAATCTACTAGAGAAACCTGTGCTACCATCTGGGATGCCAAAATTTAACGGTTCTCTCTTCTTAATAATGATCTGCAAGATTAATTGAAATAGAATTATAAGAATATTTTACACATCACTATATAAAAATAAAATAATTAACTGACCAAAGCATTTTATAATTATTTAAAATACGTTCTACCTTTCTTATTTAAAAATTTACAATGTAAAAAATATTTTAGTCTATAAAAAATACCAAAATTCCCAGGCAATTGTCACACAAATCAGAAACATACTGAGAAACATTGGATTTCTCTTAAAATAATAATAATACATTTTCCTCTTTCTCTTTCCTCACTTTCTTTCCTAGACTCCAGATGCCCAAATGTAATTAAACACTTTTAGTCACAGTATTAAGAACAAAAATTATGTCCTACCTAAAGTATAACCAACTTTCTATGCATGTGGATATTTATGAATACATTAACTCTTTCAAGCCAGTGGAAGTTGCTTTGTAAATTAAAAGCATTTTCATTCCAATTAATTTATTAAGATACTATTATAATATTCTGGGTTTCTAAGAAACTCACTTAAACTTCTTGAAAAATACACAACTTGATGCTTTACAACACTGAGACATCTGGACAACTCAATAAAAACAATTATGATTATAGAATGTAAATGTTATCAGCCTTAAAAATGTAAAGATAAATATACAGCTGATACTGGATTAAAGGTAGAAGAGGGTGAAAAACACTATGAGAGAAGTGGGGATTAAAGAAAATCCTCATTTTATAAAGTATATTTATAAAAGATATTTTCTATGCTTGATTGAACAAAAAATAAAACTTTAAGTGTGTGTTTTTTTGTTTTTAATAGAGTGACTGATGAATCTGGACAGTGTGGCTCCGTGGTTGAGGGTCGACCCATACACCAAGAGGTCACTGGTTCGATTCCTGGTCAGGGCACATGCCCAGGTTTGGGCTTGATCCCTAGTGGGGGGCATGTAGGAGGCGGCCAATTGATGTTCTCTCTCATTGATGTTTCTATCTCTCTCTCCCTCTTATTTTCTCTCTCTAAAATCAATAAAGGAAAAAGAATTAAAAATAAATAGAGTAACTGATGAGGTAGATTGAAATAATACCATTATAAAACTTGAAAGATGGGGAAGAAGGGTAAGGAAAGTATAAAATAAATCCTCATTTACCATAGTATAAAGTCAATAGACAATGTCTGTGAATGGTAAATCAAGACATAGCAATATAACCTATCTCTATCTATCTATCTATCTATCTATCTATCTATCTATCATCTATCTATCTATCTATCTATCTATCTATCTATCTATCTATCTATCTATCTATCGAAGAACACTAGAAGCCCAAACAGAAAAAGTTATGAGTGGCTGCTTCTGGGAAGTAGAACTGCCTATGAAGAGTGATGAGGCAGTCTGGCTGGTGTGGCTCAGTGGATTGAGCGGTGTCCTATGGACTGAGAGGTCCTGGTTTAATTCCTGGTCAGGGCACATGACTGGGTTGCAAGCTCAATTCCCAGTTGGGGACGTGCAGGAGGCAGCCGATGGATGTTTCTCTCTCACATAGATGTTTCTCTCTCTAAAAAAAAAAAATCATTAAAAATATAATTTTTAAAAAAAAAGAGTGATGGGACAGAGGTTTGTTACTTTTCATTATGAGCTCTTCTGTATTCTATGATTTTAAAAAATTTTTTAAGTATATATACTATTTGATTTAAAAAATATATACTCAGCCATTATTCTTTTTCCAATAATTCCCTATATCTTTAAGTGATCATTCATATTCAACTCAAAGGGATTAAATAAAGTATGGATGACTCACACAAACCCACTACAAGTTCTCAGTGCCTTGCCTCAGTTTTATAATGGTTACAAACAATGAAAAATACTTAGTTTGTTGACATCACTAAACTGTGAAGTCTTTTAAGGTTAGAATTGTACCTTATTCAGCTTAGCTTCCACAGAAGATTGGAGTCTAAACTCTGATATACAGTAGAATTTCAATAAATGTTGAGATACATTTTTAAAAGGCGTACAAATTACTAGATCTGTGTCTAGGTTACTTGAATTATATAAATTTTCACCTTGAACATGACAGACACAAATTAGTAATTACAAATAGGCTTTCCAACAATACTAATAATATTGTCTAATTTTAACTATGGGAATCTGAAAAGCAGTTTTATAGTTTAATTGCTAAAAGCACAAATCTATAACATACTTTCTGGGTTTTCCTTATAGTTGGTGTCATGTCCTTAAAATAGTCAGGTTCCAGTTGTTCCAAAGCATTTTGTTGTGTTGCCACATTCCCATTCCCTCCTTCAATCTTTACACTTGTGGGTGCATCTTCATCCCAGGAAGTCCACTCTTCAACATCTGTCTAAATTTAATTGATCAATATTGTCAGCCATATAGGAAGAAACTAATTAACATTTCATTTATCATTTATTAGAAAAATGTGCTTGCTAAAACATTAGGTTTCAAACTTTTTTGACCAACAGAGAAATATAGATTTTATTTCATATATCAAAACCACATCAAAAGTTTAAAAAAGACTTTTACTCTGAGTTAGACATTGTTATATCCATTAAAAAAAAAAAAGCAACTGCTTTGAAAATTGAATTGACATTAGAACTACAGCCCACAAAAGGAGGATTGGAACTTGCAACCTAAGCCTAACCAGGTTAATTGCCCGATAAAATAAAGAATATCAACATTCTTTATAAGATTTAAATAAGAGTCTCAAAATATTCAAAGTGTCCATGAAATAACCCAAAATTATTCAGCACACAAAAATTCAAGAAATCTCAACTCACATGGAAAAAGTCAATCAACAGACACCAACTCCAAGGTGATATAAATGTTGGAATTATCTAACTTTAAAATAATATTATAAATATGCACCAATAAGCAATAGCAAACACTCTTGAAATCACTAAGAAAATATAGAAAATCTCAGCAAAACAACAGAAAATAAAATAAAGAACCAAGTAAAATTTTTAGAATCAAAATATGTAACAACAAAAATCAAGACCCTGACTTCCAAATTAATTTTGTGACATACTAAATGGTCTGCAATCCAGTTTAAAAAGTATGGTTCTGTAACATTTATTCAACCTTTAAAAAAATTTACCTGTTTTGGAACTGATGAATAATCAACTGTAGTTGGCAACGTTATTTGGTCTCCACTTAATTTCCGTCCTCTGCCAGATCTAAAATAAAAATGAAATAATTTATTTCAAGAACTCCCAAAACAAACATAGGTAAAAGTACTATGGACAGTAACTTAGGGCTTATAAAAGATCTTTTCCAATTTTAGAATTATTTATTTTAATAATTAACAGTTGCTCATTAAGGTATAAATGAAAAGCTTACACCAGGTATCTTATGAATGTTTTTAAAATCTTGGACCATACAACATAACTGCTTTATGGCTTAGGACTCAGAATTATAGACAAACTCAGCAGGAATATAAAGCCAAAAAAAAATGGTTTCATATCATGCTACTTAGATTACTGTCGAGTTCTATAGGTGAAGCTCTGAGACACCTATGCTGTTTTAACCAGGTGGGGTTTTGTTTTACATATTTAGCTTCTTGTTAAGATTACCTATTAAACTAATAAAAAGTTTAAAAATCACTGGGTTGAACTAAACCATAACTAATAAGTTTTAAGGATTAGTAGGAAAAGAACTGTATTAAACAAGATAGGCATTATAACTCAGATGTTAAAAGCATGGGTGTTGTGAGGATTTAATTAAGTGATAATATTTAAAGCAGCTTGACACTAGACAGTACCTGCTATATAACAAGACATTAAATAAAAGGTAGCTATTATAAATGATCAGTCACTTGCTTCATTTCAAATAATCTATAAAGCATCTACTTAGATCTAATTACTAAAATCAGCCTTTTATTACAAGATTAGAAATCATACTTTGTTTAAAGGATAAATAGAAAAATAATAGTCTACTACCAAATGTATGATATAAACCTGGTGTTTTAGAACACTTAATCTAGGTTCCTTCTGACACTTAAGAAAAGCTAATTCTAAAAAATGGTCTGTTTTCTTAAAAACTGAACATATACTCAATCCTAAATATACTTACATTGACAACAGAAATGTCCGTAATAAGTATTAATCAAATGCAATTTCTTATACTAAAAGTAATCTATATGCAATAGAAGTTTTATAAAATACAGATTCAAAGAGAAAAACACTGTAATCTTCACTACTATTAACATAATTACTTGTTTTACTCTCTGGCCTTCTAGTAGTTAATATCCATTCTTATCCTCCTTTATCTAGTGAATTGCTGGCCACTGTCCTCATGCTCTGAATGATTTTCAGCACGTTTTCCTACTTCCCAAATCCTGTCCTCTTCCCGGGTGATTTCAACAATCACCTAAATTTCCCATTTCTTTCTTGACCTCTCCTCCAGCAATCATCTCCACTCACTTCCACTGCCATATCTTGGACCTCATTTTTTTTTTTTTTTAATCCCAGACCACTCTAATTCTAACAATAAATTCAATGATACTTAATCCTCAGTGTTTTAGTAGCTTTAAAATGGACATTTACTAGAGAATGCATTCCTCGTCTCCCCTGCAGCTAGGTGGCCATATATAACTAAGCTCTGGACAGTAGGCTGAGAACAGAATTATTCTGTGCAACTTCTAAATCATGTCCACTAAAAAAGAGAGCTGATTGCCCTTCAATTTCTTTTATTCTACTCTACTCTTAATGAGTCATTTTTTTTTATAGTACCCTTAGGCCAAAAGAAATACCCAATGAACCCACTGATTATATACGTAAGGCCCCAAAAATTTAACACGTATATGTCCTAATTGCTTGGTAGACATTTGAAAAAAATAATACATATCAATTTAAAGAAAAAATAATATTTTTATTTCATTCTTAACCACAGTTACTTACTAATGGAATGTGCATGTCTGTTGGACAATGCATACCTTCTCAAGCCTTATAATCAGACTGGACACCACCACCCTCATTTTCTGTTCTACATTAATTTTGGTTTAGTACTTGCTTTTTTTTGTTGTTTAATCCTCACCCAAGGACATTTTTGCATTTATCTTCAGTTAGAGTGAGAGGGAGAAAGGGGGGAAGAGAGAGAGAGAAACATCAACGTGAAAGAGATACATCAAGTAGCTGCCACCCACATGACCCCAACTGGGGCGGGAGACAAACTGCAACCGAGGTACATGCCCTTAGCGGGAACCGAACCTGGGACTCTCTGGTCCGCGGGCCGATGCTCTAACCGCTGAGCCAAACTGGCCAGGGCAGTACTTGCTTTTAATTACAACCTAAAATCCTAGCTTTGCAAGGCTAAGTCACCGGAACTACAAGTGAACAAAAACTTATCACAAACATTCAAGAACATCATCAAAAGTAATGCTACAGGATTTAGTGTTGCAAATCTGAACTACCTTGAGCCAGTAGTTTGTGCAGCGTTTAAAGATGCTGACTATTACACTCATTGTGTTTTGCTGGAAAATTAAAAATATACTGTGGCACTCCTATGAGTTTAATGAGAAGCCCTGAAGTGCAGTAGCACACAGTTTAGAAACTATAGCTCTAGAGTATGAAAGTGTGAAAAGAGAAAAGGAACTCTTACTGAAAAGGATGACTTACTGAAGCAGAATGACTTACCTTGCCCTAGGCTACCTACAAATTATTTAAGAGATGAGAAAACAAAACAAAATGAGACCCCCAAAAACAAACAAAAAATCTACTTTGTTTAGGGTTTCTCTGTTACAGTTTTTAAAATATAAAAATAACATTCATATGGTAGTCTATAAAAAAATAACTACGTCTAATTCCACCTAACCATCTTAAGACATTATGATATTGAAACAACTATATACATAAAACCCTCTGATAATTTTAATAATGAAAATTGGTGTGCTTATTTCTGAAATTCTAAAGTACTAGGAATGTTATTTTAATGGAGCATGTAAAAATTTGAAAGAAAAATATGAAGTGGAGAAAAAATATTTTAGAAATACTAGAGATTAGTGAATAAATACCACAATCAAGATATTTAGTTTAAATATAGTCTGTCCTGTTTCATAGTTAAGAAAGCATCCAACCAGAAAGAAGATAAACAGATCAATTTGAACATAAAATTTGTTTACCTGCATATTAATCTCTTTAGGAATGAGAACAATGTTGCTAAGCATGTACAAACTTTAAATAACCGAAACTGTGTGACAGCCATGACGGGAATCAAAACCTGTGGAAAAGGCACAAAAATAAATGCATTAAGTTAATTTCATACACTTATTCCTGTTCTGAAGTCAAGCTTAGAAGTCCTATTATAAGCTGTGAAAATCAGGCATATTTTTTACTTTTCTTTATAAATCACAAATACAGCATAATAAATTTAAAATTAAAATGTAAATCATGCGAGGTCCAGGATGGTGGCAGTGGGGGACACTGAACTCACTTCATCCTCTCTGATGAGCAAACTCAAATATACACGTATACAGACAACAATGACTGCTGTACAACTGAGGGCTGAATAAACAGCTTCTAAAAGACAAGAGAAAGGGAACTCTGGTCAGGAAGAGCCAGTGAGCACCACTGTTCAAATGTCCCTCCACTTCCACGGAGTGGGCGGGGAGCTCTATTCCTTGGATTACCTGCCAGATCACCACACTGTTCCCAGCTACACTGCCCTAAGCCTTCTGCCTCCTGAACAGTGGGACTGAGCAGGAAAAACAGGGTGTCACCCAAACAAAACATTAAAGAAAACCAGCAAATCACAAGGGAAGAGATCAAAAGAAGAAAAGAATAGAAAACTATCAACTAAAAAACAATGAACAAAATGGCAATACTGTAAGTACATACTTATAATTATTTTAAATGTAAATGGATTAAATGTTCCAGTAAAAACATAGAGTGGCTGAATGGATTAAAAGACATGACCCATTTTATATGCTGCTTACAAGAGACTAACTGCAAATTGAAAGACAGTGAAGGAATGGAAAATTATATTCCATTGGAAACAAAAAGAAAGATGGGATAACAATACTCGTATCAGACAAAATTAACTTTAAAACAAAAAATGTAAAAAAAGACAAATAAGGGTAATACATATTATAAAGTGGTCAATCCAAGAAGAGGCTATGTACACAACATAGCAGCTCTGAAATATATGCAGTTATTAATGGTCATACAGGGAGACATCCACATTAATATAATAATAGGGGATTTTAATACCCTATTCACATCATTGGTTCATCCACACGGAAAATTACAACAAATTGACTTAATACACATATGTAGAACAAGTTGTCAAAAATAGCAGAACACATACTTTTTACAAGTGTGCATGGAACATTTTCCAGAATAGATTATATATTAGACCACAAAACAAGCCTTAGTTAAGTTGAGAAAACTAATATATCAAGCATCTTTTCTGACCACAATGGCATGAAACTAGAAATCAATGACAGAAAGAAAACTGAAATAAAATGCAATAAGTAAAACTACACAACATGCTACCCAACAGCCAATGGATCAAATAAATTAAATGTTGCTGTCTAGTTAACTTGATTGCACTTCAGTGCAACTGGTTGGAAAATTTATCTTGCAAATTATAACATCATCAATGAATTTATAAGAATGTTTATTGTTAGTGAGGTATTCTTGGCTTTTGAATTAAACAGATCTAGGTTTGAATCAAAGTCATTTGGTGTGGGAACATGCTTATTCTCTGTGCTTCAATTTCATGAAATGAGAGCAATAATACCTATTTCATAAGATGACTTTATCAGTTAAGTGAAGTAATAGTAATGCTTGGCACACAGTACCTGGTCAGTGAATATAGTTCCTCTCTTTCATTAATCAGAAAACCATAAAAGCAAATATTCTGCAGAATGAGAAAATTCTTAATTGCTAGGGTGAGAATTTTATTCTGTTGTCAATAATAACTCCACTTTGTTTTTCTTTTGGAACAACTGGAACTAGCCAGTTGCCACTGAAGTCATTCAAGTTGGATAATACTTATTGAAGATTTACACACAATATATTTGTGCAAGGTGATTACCCTAAGATCATGAACAACACAAGCATGCTTTCATCATTTCTATTCAGCATTGTAGTGGAGGTACTGGCCAGTGCAATCAAGCAAGAAAAGGAAATAAAAGGCATCCAGATTAGAAATAAATAAAACTGTGTGCATTTAGAAAATTCAATGGAATCTACAATCAACTGTATTTTTTATGTTAGCAACACTCACAAATTAATAAGACATTTTAAAATAATGTTATTTCACTTAGGAAAGCTTTCAGATTGTTTAGAATCTTTTAAAAAGTCCTTAATACAATCATCTTGTAGTGATTATTTATAACTCTTTCTGGAGAGCTAACTTGTATTACTACTTAAGGACTGGGGAGAGGAGTAGGTCTCAGGATATACAGTAGTCCCTTCTGTCTGTGGTTCTGCTTTCTACAGTTTCAGTTACCCATGGTGTCAGTTGCCTATGGTCAACTGTAGTCTGAAAATATTAAATGGAAAATTACAGAAATAAACAATTTATAAGTTTTAAATGGCACATCATTCTGAGTAGCATAATGAAATCTTGTGCTGTTTGCTCCATCTACCCAGGACATGAATCATTCTTTTGTCCAGTGTATCCACACTGTATACCCTACCTTCCTGTTAGTCACTTAGTAGCTACCTTGGTATTAGATCGCCTGTCCTGGTATCACAGCACTTGTGTTCAAGTAACCTTTATTTTACTTATAATGCCACATTCATTCATATAACTTTTATTACAGTACAGATATAATTATTCTATTTTATTATTAGTTATTGTTGTTAATCACTTATTGGACCCAATCTATAGATAAAACTATATAGTAGGTATGTATTACAGGAACAAATGTATGTACAGGATACATAGAGTTTAGTACTATCTGCAGTTTCCGGCATCCACTGGGGGTCTTGGAACCCCACAGATAAGGTAGGATTATGCTACATGAATGAAGAACTGAGAAAAAATTTCATATAAATGCTTGGTAATCAGGGTCATCACCTACGCACAGATATTGTTATGTGTCATTGTTCAATAAGTATTTTTCAACTTCAGTGGTAACTGGAAATAAAATGTCCAGTTGTTTCAAAAGAAAAACACAAAGTGGAGCTATTATTAACAATAAAATTCTCACCCTAGCCATTAAGCATTTTCTTATTCTGTGGAATATTTGCTTTTGAGATTAATGAAAGAAGAGAACTAATATTCACTAACCAGGTACAATGTGCCAAGCACTAATATTATCTCACTTAACTCATAAAATCATCTTATGAGATAGATATTATTGCTCTCATTTCATAGAATTGAAGCACAGAGAGTAAGCATATTTCCATGTTCCCACACCCAATGACTCTAATTCAAACCTATGTCTATTTAATTCAAAAGCCAAGAATACAATAAATAGTCTTAGAAATTTGGTGATGATGATATAATTTCCAAGATAAAATTTCCAACCAGTTGCACTGAAGTGGGGAAAATGCAATCAAGTTAACTATCAAGCAACACTTGAATCTATCAATTACCCTGATTTACAGACAAGAATATTCTTTGGGACTCATATTTACCAAACGTTTCAACTCAACTCAACTCAACTCAATGAAGATAGATATTTAGCACCTACTATGTAACAGATTCTACCAAGGATGATGGGAAACACTACTGACCCAGAAACTCCATGTTCACTGCTCAGCTGTCACAAGCCTGTGACAATGCAAGGGAAGGAGGCAGAGCCTCCCTCAGTCTTGCTCAGTTTAGCACTTTACGTCTTATCCAATGCCAAGCACATAGTAGGTGACTCAGATATTTGTTGAATGGAAGAAAATCAATATTCCTTGAGCACCCAGTATGTTCAAGACATAGTTCTAGACTAGTAATTTTCAACCTTTTTTATTGCATGGCACACATAAACAAATTACTAAAATTCTGCCCACAACAAAAAATATATTTTTTGCCAATGTGACAAAAAAAAAAGGTATAATTTTGATTCAGTCACACCAGACAGCTATTGTTTTGTTGGCTATTGTCATATTGTTATTTGACAATCGGAGGGAAAAGAGGTCAGAGACCTTGACTAAATAGTCAGGTAGTGCATGTTTTAAAAATTCTTGCAGCACACTTGTTGAAAATTTATGTTCTAGACAATGAATGTTCTAGCACCTCACTGGAATCTTAAGAACAGAGGATGACATGAAGCTCAAATTCACTCATCCAGGAATTAAACAACTTGAACCTAAAGCTCGGGCTCTCTCCACACTACATGCCATTTGGGAACCTTTATTTTGATACTCATTGCCTCAGTTTGATTTTTGAAATGGCCTCTAGATCACCAACCTGATAAGCATACATCTTAGACTTGCACTTTGGTTTCTTCAAAATACTTTCTAGAACCACAAAATGTTAATATAATCTAATTTTAAAATTAAGATGTCATTAAAATTTACTAGGAAAATAGAAAAACTTGAGACAGCAGAACCATGACGCAACCAATGCTCAGGGCTTTTGTGGAAATGACCTATCTAGGAAATTCTGCCAAGTGAAAAAGATTCACCTACAAATTTTAAAAAGAATTCTGCATTAGATATTGAAAGGTTAAATTACCTTTCCTCCCTGTAATTCCATGTAAACTGATGTCAAGACCCTTTCAGTAGTCACCTAACACAATTTGTGAAACAAGTCAAGCCACAATCTATGTTGGTACACAACAGAATAAACGAGTCACCGATCACTGTATTTCTAAAACTAGACATTTTGAATTTTTTAAATACCAACATTTGAAAAACCATATGATTTAACACAGTACAGAATATGCTCAATTAAGTTTGCAACTCTTTGAGGTAGGCTAAGGAATATCACAAGGCCCCCCAAAATAAAATTCATTTGAACTCACTAAAATTTCAAAACCCAAAGTTTGGCAGTGGCAAGAGAAGGGGAACCATAAGCAGACTGAGCGCGGGTTCCAAGTCCAACCCGGTACCGTGTCCGGCAACACACTCAGGTTCTCAAATAGGGTGACACCACTGAGACTCTTACAAAGGCAGAGTAAGGTCTCCAGAAGGGCTCAAAAGTAAAGAGTTTCATACTGAAATGCTTTATAACTGGAGATTACCCACCTGAGATTGCCTGGTGACCAGATCATACCCACTGTACAGATCAGGAAAACGGCAAGAGCGTTTTCAGGTTACACAATCCGACGCCATGAGCACGGCGTTTTGTGAAACGCTCTAAATTGCTAAAAGTGGGTGCCAGGTGGGCTGGGATTTGGATTTTGGAAGAAATCCGCCTGGGAGGGAGAAAGGGCTGCAGAGGACCTGCAGAAAGGACGGCAAATTTCCCGGCGGGGGGAAAGTAGGGAGTCCCGGGGACTTCGGGTCGGTGCCCCGCGGGCCGACCGCCGACGCGTGAGCCCCGCATAGTGAAGGCTGCACGCCTAGGCCCACTCCCAATGGCCCTTCCCTCACCCCGCAGGTCACCCTGACCCGGAAACAGTACCCTAGAATGGCAGTCGGCCGTGGGGTGGGGGTAATCAGCGGGAGGGGCAAAAAGGAAGGTGGGAAGTCGGGAAGTACGGAGAGAAGAGGAGGGCTGACCAGAGAAGGGCAGAGGACACCCCAAGGCCGGCGTTGCGATGGGGGTGGGGAAGGGAAGCCCCTCGCGGGCGCGCGCGAGCCGCACACACTCACCTGCCCCTCCCCCTCCCCGCCCGCCCGGTGGAGGCTCCGAGCTGCCGTGGGTCGCGCGCGCGCGCGCGCGCACACACGCACGCACACGCAAAGGCGCGCGCGCGCGTGCTGCTGGTCGCTTCTTCGAGCTCGCGCTCCGCCGGTTCAGTCCCAGCCCCGCTCATTCAAAGCCGGGCGCGCGCTCCGTCGCAGGCGCCGTTGCCGCCGCGCAGCTGCCATGGCCGCCTCCTCCTCGGCAAGCCCTCCCCCGCTCCCCCCTCTTCGCCCTCCTAGAAGGGGGCTCTCGGTTCCCTCCAGGCCCGCACTTCTGCACCCCCCTCCAAGTCCCGTCTGGCCCAATAGGCGAGAGGCTGTGGGTCGGGCGTCGGAGCGGACAGCCAATGAGTGCCGGAGGGCGGGGCGAACGGGGGCAGGAGCGGCCGCGGCTGAAGCTAGTCCACGCGTAGGAAATTTTGTGACGGTTGCTGGCTGGCTGTCCCCTCGCGGAGCTCCTAGGTTTGTTCTGTGTGGGCCTGCGTTCTGCGGCGTGCCTCTGCCCCAGCCATGCCCCTCACTGTTGTACCCACGACCCTCTGGGGCAAGGGGAAGCAGTGTTTAGATAACAGAAGGGGAGGACACCCCCGCTGTCTGGGTATGATTTGAATGTGGGTAGGCCAGCTGTCAATCATTCTGCCAGCCCAAGGCTGCGAAACGCTGTTGAATTTTGGACTTAGACTCTTCCAGGTGATTTTTATTGAATTCCCTTTAACTGGAAGTTAAGTGGCCCTTCTCCGAATGCAGCCTAGTTTAGCCATTCTTCCAAACTAGGGTGTTCTTTCTTTCTGTGGTTTAATCTTTGAAGCCTGATTTTTGTTTCTTTTTATCCTGTGCGCCATTAAAAGGCTAGAGTTCTTTGCTATTGTGGGCAGGGGGCCCTCAGAAAATTATCTGCGCCACTGTTGGCAAAAAGACTGGTGAGGGAGGATAGAAGTATATATGATCAAAGGCTGAAAGCAGTTCATGCAAATTGTTCCCCAACCAGCGTTCCACTCTTTCTGCCACTTTGGACTTACACCTACCTGTGTTCTGTCACCCTGACTTGCACTCATCTACCCACTTAACTTTCTGGAACCGCCACACCGACCCCATTCCAATCTGTACCACATTTCTCCTAATACTTTAACTTGTTTATTCCCAAAAGGAGAAGAAAGGGGATGTTTATGACTCTTGGTCTGAAATGATTCTGCATAGTTTTGGTTGTTATTTTATCTTCAGTTTCCATAGCAATAACGTGGCCATAATAGCTTAGCAAGTGTGGCTCGGTTGGTTGAGTGTCCTTCCAGGTACCTGCCAGTTCTATCCCTGGTCAGGATTCTTAAGGCAACGACTGTTTCTCTCTCTGTCCCTCTCCCCTCCTCTCTCTCTCTCTCTCTCTCTAAAATCAATACAAACATATTTTAAATGACCATAATAGTTACTATTTTGTGGAATGGCTAATGCTTGCAAAGCTGTAGTTCAGAGCCTGGCACAGAGCAAACATTCACAGATAACAGCTGTTATACTGCCTCTATTACTACACTACTTCCTCATTCCCAGTTATTACACCTCCCTGAATCCACTAAACCCTCTACAGTCCCTGAAACACCTGCAGTACCCTTAATCTCTTCAAACAATAATTCAGATAATTCAGAATTCCAGTAATTAAGAATTTCCAAAATGATTTTGCAGTCCAGACATCCAATAATCCAAAGTAGCCTACATCCTGACATAAACATGTTTTCAAAATGTTTTTCCTTAGAAATTTATATCTTTGCTCCAAACTGTAATATCTCTATGATATTGTCTTATTTTTTATATTATTCTGTTTTCTTTATTAAATGTGCCATTTCCAAGTGAAACAAAACAAAAAGTATATAATTTAACAGAAACAAGTAGTGAATACTTGTTTCACAACACAATAACAAAAGTTTGCTGAAGATTGTACACTTGAAATTTACCTTAAAAATACCTATAAAAGAATATTTTAAAATCATCCTTACTCTAGTTCAGTGGTTCTCAACCTTCTTAACGTCTCGACCCTTTAATACAGTTCCTCATGTTGTGACTCCCCACCATAAAATTATTTTTGTTGCTACTTCATAACTGTAATTTTGCTACTGTTATGTCTTAGGCGACCCCTGTGAAAGGGTCATTCGACCCACAGGTCTGGATGTTAAGTAGTAAACCCCTAATTGGGGGTTACAAGTGCCAGTATTTTGGAATCTTGCTTGGGGACCACCTCATAACAGTGTGCAATTTGAAGTCCTGTCCTCTGCCCAAGGCTTGGTGTGGGGTGAGTGAGGGTGGAGGAATTACCAAATGTCAAGTGAGAGGCCCATGTGGGATACAACCTGATGCATTAAAGATTTCTTTTTAGATTGCCCCTACTTCATGGGGTATAGTTCTACCTGCTCTGTGTCAAGTTCATGTTGCCCATTTAAAGGCTTATGATTGGCTTCTACCCTATCACCAATTGCCAGCTTGATTTATTTATTCTTGATTTATTCATTCTGTCAGCTTCCACCACTTACTCTTCCAGTTCAGAGCCTATTTAAGCTTCCTTGTTCTGAGTTCTCCAGCTGGGACTCAGTACTGTCCTGTCAACTGACCTCCCATCCCTTCCCAGGAGGTAGGACAGACCTTGCAAACTCAGCCCAATACTTCCAGATCTCCCCCAACCCAGCTCCCTGGCTTTTCACTAAAGCGATGGTTTTTTCCTCAAGCACAATTTTAGACCTGCTGTTCTGACTTGGACATTAAAGGCTTTTTATTAATGAGCAGCTGTTCACAGTTGAATACAGATCATAAAGTCAAATTCATTTCATGATCAAGCAAAACAGCCTTGCAGCTCATCAAGTGACAGCTTTGAGCAGATACATTTGAAAACAAAGGATTATCTGATAATTTTAATGGCTTGTTTTATTGATCTTTTATTCTAGAGAATTTTGCTTTCAATATAATACATTTTAATATTCTGGAGAATTATAATTTATTTTTTAGTATCATAACTATCATTTAATAGTTAGGGTCAGTTGCTTAATAGAGAAACCAAAAGGTTTGAAGCAATGTTTTTATTCCTTTTATATTAAAAGAAAATTAACTTTCCACAAAGCATTTAAATAAATATTTTTCATCATAATATTACTACCTACTATCTTCAATTAGTAGTCATTTTTATTGCTAAATATGGGAACACTCAAGATAAGAACAATTAGAGTTAACCAAGTCCTTTCAAAAGAGGCCTGGATAGGAATGGAGGAAAGTAATGGATATCTTTTACTAGAAATGAATTCAAATGAAAAGGGGGGTGGGGGCAAACTTTTCACTCCTGTGTTCCAGTAGTGAGGTTCAGTAATGTCATACCTCTCAGCTAATGTCTACATTGTTATTAGAGCTCTAATGTAATTCAGCTATATTATGAGTTATTAGGACCGGTAATCTAAGGCCACTTATTATTTCTAAGGGTAAACGTGTTGAGATTTATACAATCAATATAAAACAATAGTTTATAACATGCTTTATCTTGTACATAGGTTAGAAACTTGAATAAAAGAACACTGAACCAACACTGAAAGCCTGATCCATTCAGCTACAGTATGGTGGACATCGTGGCTTTTACCTGAAATATACATGCAGTTTTCTCATCTGCAAAATTTGATTAATACTTCTAACCTTACGGATTTAGTTTACAAAGTAAGTGGCATAATATATGTGGAAATGTCTTGAAAACAATGACACTGATGAGAGCTTTCGGGCATACAGGTATATCATCTTTAAGTCCAGTAGAATCTTATTTTAGCCACAACAAGAAAAAATGGTGAATATTATCTCATCAGCAATGAGAAAATAGACATGTTTGTTATAACATATTAAAAAGGGGAAAAGAGCAGGGAGTACTAAGCTTTGAAGCTATGATCTGAGTACATCTCCCCACCCCCTTTGCCCCTTTGCTTGAAAGACACTAGGGGGAAAAGCATCTCTTACACAGGAAGCACCTGCAACCCTCCCCCTCCCTCTCTGCACATTCTCTCACTACTCATGGGATATTTTCCTCATAACAATTTGTGTTGCCAACTTTCTTCCATTCTTTCTTCATTTTAGCACACCAGGACTATCATAATGATGTCCTAAATAGTATTTTGGATTTTCCCCCTTCCTCTAAATTGCTGTATGATTATTTTAAATATTTTTAAAACAAAGACTCTTCATAGTAATGGTCTTGTTCAAAATAAAGAGATATTTGCCATTGTCCATCAATTCAAATTCACTTAGGAAATATGTCTTGATTGTTGTTTTTAAACTCTTCCATTTCAAACTGCTGCTCCTGGATGCCCCTCTGACCACCTCTGGCCCTTTAAAATATCAGACATAGAAGCAGTTCTTGTTAAAAAGGTGTTTGTCTGTATACACTGTATGTTTCATACAGTTAAAATTAACTTGCCTCCTCATCATGAAATATATCTGTCTGTGTTTTTATTTGAAATTAAATCCTTTATAAGTGAGAATTAAATCTAGAAATTTTCAGCATAAAAATATGTTCTTTTCTCTCTTCCTAGGAAGAACGTATATCTATAAAGAATCATCTGCCTAAATACATAAATTACTCTAAAGAAAAACCAAAGGAAATATTCTTGCCATGTAGCCAGACACACTCATAAATATGTTGCCCCAAAGGAATCAATTTTTCTGCTCATAGGCACTGAGCCCATTACCATAGCAACCATAACTAGTTGGTCTATAACTGGGTATGAATTTTATAGTACACTGTTATTTGAAATGTTAAGTCAGTAAGTCAGGATAAAGTGCAATTTCTGTAATATTTTGGAAGGATTTCTTTATCTCGAAAATCTGGTGGAGGAAGAATTTCATTATGCTGCCTATTTGTTTATTTAAACAGTTTATTCTCACTTACCATGGGCACAGTGTGTGCTAAGCCTGTCCGAGAAGTTAAAAGA